TCCATGCAGTACCTTTTTAGTTTAGCCCGGATATACATATAGATAAGTAGACAAAAATTCTAAAAACCTTACATTTGGCTTCGGTATCGATTGTAGATCACGTCCTAAGTATTCTTTTATAAAAATGTTCAATTGACTTTCTTACAATTTTATTATACAGTATGTACAGATTTGATAATTTGGCCTTCTCTATATAAGAAGGTTTGCCATGATACGTATTGAAATGTGTTAAAGAAAACAGATTTATTAAAGAGCGCTTCTGCTTCTACTCTGTTACCACCTACTCTGCCAATGTGAAGATCCCCAGTCAGTTTTTACGATATCCACGAAAAGTGATAGTGCTGATAATCTGTATTGTACTATTATATTAAGCATTAGCAAGTCACATAAATTACATTTTACTCTATTCCATAGAAACAGTACCTACTTAATTCGACGCAGACAAAATCAAATCACTTATTGACCAATTTTTCATGCATTCTCCCTAACACAATAACCAGTCAACCACAAAAGTACCAATTACACGAACATTTAGGAAAAACAATACACAAATTATACACAGTAGTAACCTACACAAATAAGTAATTCAGTTTGACAATAAACTAAAAGTTTTAAAGATTCCATTGTTACCAAATTGTCACGCGTTCAAACATAATTGGCGTGACAAAACACATCTGTCACGCTAGTCGGTAAGTTAACGTGTTTGTTTACGTTTACAATGCGTTATTGTTTTGTTAAAGTTTAAACTTTAACTAATTACTGTGGGAAAATTGTTTAGTGACTTGTAAAAGAGTTGAATGTGGCTTACTGTGTACGATGCATGCAAACAATAAGGCGGCCTACAGATGATAAATGCACGCATCTTGTTTAGGAACAATGAAAACTGTTCACGAAGCGGCTATCTTATGTTTTCGGCTTACTTGCGTAACTGTTTGACAAGGAACTCGACTAGTTTCAAGCCATGCTAGAGGCTCAAGATAGTAACTGATTGGTATCCAAGAGACGGTAAACGCAACAGAGGAAAGCAGTTAAAAAGATGGGAGGACGAACTAAGGCTAACAGCGGTACCCAAAGGCCTTTGCCAAAAGGCACACTGAATTAAGAGATATACTGTAACCTTTTTGTAACAACTCGTAATGTAAAAATTCAGAATAAAGGGCTTTATTATTATTATAGAGGCTCATATTCGCGACGCGGCGACTGTTGGAGTAGCAGCGCGACAGTCGCCGCGTCGCGGGTCGCGGAATGCTGCTCATGAATATGAGCCTCTAGCATGGCTTGAAACTAGTCGAGTTCCTCGTCAAATTATTACGTGATTAAGTCAAAAAATAATAATTACTTTAGTATGTCTCACGAAAGTTTTAATATAGGTAAATATAGTTAACCGCCTATTGTTTGTGAAGGATGCGTGCATTCGTCAAATGACGTAACGTGGACGGTTACCCTAATTCTTCTTTTGATTTGGATATCCTCGATTTTTCAAAGAAGTTTATATTTAGGGCCAATTTTTCAATGCTCAGTTAAATTTTATCAGAAGAATAACTTTGAATATTTGACAATTCTTCTTCCTGACTAAAAATTGTCAACTGTCAATTTTATTCTACAGTTAAGAATTAACTGAAGATTGAAAAATCGGCTCTTAATATATTATGTAACTGGCTGTTACATTCTAGATTATAAATGTATCAAACAAAAGAACTATTAAAATCTCATAATTCATTAATTTTCATGTAGGTAAAACCACATGACGTAAGAATACTGAAACGTTAAACCTATAAATGAAATGTAATTAAATTCATATTCGTACGAACATGAGCTGTGAAAATTTCAAATTTAACGACAACTTTATTGTAAACATGTCGATAAAATATGGCGAAATTATAGAATTAATTATTACTCAACCAGTTGGAAAAACTTGCAGCAATTTCTATCCATGGAACATTGTGTGGGTTACATGATTCATCATAAGAATATTTAAAATTATATTACTTTATTATGTATATATTATTGTGTTTCTGCATAACATAACATGTAACAACGCCTTTCATCCCCAAAGGGGTAGGCAGATGTCACATTACGGCACTTAATGTCACTGTACAATGTAACACCCATTTTTCACTACTTATGTTATGAGTCTCATGTAAAGTGGGTGAGCATATTGTCATATACGGAGTCCATTTCCAGACTCCGTGCTAAAAAATATCAAACATTATGACATTTTTCTATGAATTTTGTATGATTTTGCAAGTTGTCGTAACTTTTTTGCGTTACATATAATATGTTAACCATGTCTTTTAGTTTCTCGGAAAATATGTAAGCCACAAGTTACCGTAAAACTAGGTGAATAGAATTCAATGGGTGTGAATAGTCGAATTCAAAGCATTTATTTCAATTAGTCCTATATCAGGCACTTTTGAAACGTCAAAAATTGAATTGTCCGTCCGTCTGTCTGTCCGTGAAACTAGGCGCTCGTTCCAAAGTGTAGTTTCGAATGGAGAAGAACGATATAAGTAGAAACTCCATCGTTACTCTTTTGAAAAAACTCTGTTTTTTACAGTTTCATTGATACATTATCTGATCCTTTACCTACATAATAGGTACAGGAATGGGGTGAATAAATCTTTGAACAGTTATTGTATATTATATTTAGATTCACCCGTCTTTTGGTGATTGATTTTGACTTCTGACTTTAACTTTGCACCATCTATTCACAGTTCGAATTATATTCACTCCATTTTACCGTTAATTAAATTACTTGATGAGTTTATTGTCTAAGTATGAATGGAAAATATTAATTTTATCTGAGTCATCATCCCTATTCTAAGAATGTAACAAGATTAGTGAGAAAATCGGAAAATTGTAACACGTCATAATTTATGGTTTGTTACAATATTTACATAAACTGATACATGTTGTAATATTGGACTGAGTCATGGAAAGGAGATTCTAACACTAGAAATGTGCTAATTTATAATGTGAAGAAAATATCATCATCATCAGTTTGTAGTTGGTAGTATGTCCTGTGTCAATGTGAGTTTTATGACATTCATATTGGGTTTTACCTTCAATAAGAATACATGACTATGCCCGTGCTATGCCGAAACGTAGATCTACGGGAAACACAACGTGTTTTTTCTTGTCAATGTATTTCTTATGTCTCATATACCATTACACAAGGGGTTAAACTCATTCTACATATCCGGTAAGGCATAGATGATTATCAGAATAATTTCAGTCTCCAATAATATCTTGCTTGACTCATCAAGACCTTGCGTTCAACAGCCACACTGTTCACCACTGAATCAGCAACCTATCTTACATTAATATCATGTGTACATAACAATAAACTATAGAACTAACACGGGAATAAAACTGCGACCTAGAACAATGCAAATCTTAATTACGATAAACCAAGACTAATTACAATAAGCAAGCAAGATGTAATTATTTTTGAAAAAAATATTTTTTCATTTAATTTTAAATCCTTTATTGCCAATTATACTAATTATTAAGAAAAATACAAAAATTGTGTGTGGCAGAATAATTATCGTTTCCGTGTATGCGCGTTTTTTTTAAATTAAAAAAGTTTATATCTTATATAAACTGGCTGTAGATCCAATGCCATTTAAAATTTAAAAACAGATTTTATCTATTTAAAAAATAAGATTTGAATGACAAAGATTGCTAACGATATCATACTTTACTAATAGATCCGTGTGCCTTCAGATCGTCTGGATCTGGGTGTGACGCACCTACGATACAAACGTACTTTATTGGTGTATTTCACTAATACTCAATGGGTCAGAGAAAAAAACATAAATAAAAAAATGACTAGGTATAGAGAATAGTTTAACTTTAAAAAAAATTACTCTGATTTAGTTTTCTGCTATCACGTAAGCATAAATGACGTAACAAGGATATCAGTCAACAAAATTCACATTAGGATTTTGCTTGTAGAAAAATAAACACAAAAAAATCCGAAATCTCTTTACAGATAAACAGCCGATACCATGAAACAATGTCTCATTTTGCTAATAACCTCAGCAAACTAAACTGTGACGTCACAAACCACGTTCCATAAAAGTCAATACAAAGTTTACATAACAAAATTCACACGTTAAAGTTTCCTGTTACAAAGAGTATTATCTATAGTTAACTTCTACACACATCAAGCTACGCAAACCAGTATAAACTGATCGTTCAATGTACGGAAAGATCATACAAACTGAGACCATGATAAAATGGTTTTGTATAACTTGATATGTTAGTGTTTACACGCACTTTTTTATTAGTCTAACCAATTATCGATATCGGTTTCAAGAGGAAATCCTCATGATTTTTAAAGAAACGTAAGAAATATATTTATGTCGAATACCGGATTTCACAATCCGGTTCGCAAAAAAAAAAAAACTTATGTTGGTAGTCTTTTGGTACACAGTAACGGAGATAATAACCCTGAAAAATTCTGGTTTTAAAATCCCATATTTTCCACAAGGACATGTCTAACACCCAACAAATAAAAATTCTAACCAAACGGACATATACAATAGTTTTTTTGTTAATCAATTTCAAGGAGATTCTACCAATCAAGCCCTTTCATATGATACAATAATGTATTTAAAAAGCAAAAAACGTAGCAAAGGAAATTCAATCACAAACAAAATTTATACAAATTCTTATACACATAGACAATGGAAATAAAATCGATTATTATATGATATATGATTATTTAGAACCTCAAACAGCGAAAGTATAAAATAGCCTAATTGGCAATTATGCTTTCGAACCGTTTGGGGTTGAAACTTTAGGTCCGTGGGGCCCAAGTGCACATCTTCTTTACAAAGATATTGTAAGGAGGATGGTTGACACTTCAGCAGCTGTAGCCAAATGCCTTCTAGCGTCAGTGTCATCCCCATACATTTAGTTTTCTACTCTCTCTGTAGACAAGCGCTAAAGTGGCGTTTGGCTAAAGTAAGCAAAACATCATCATCTCCACTTACCTAAGGTTCTTAACCATTCTGTTCTCGCTGGGTAGGTCGAGGAAGTCAAGCAGGAACCGCAGTCGGTCCACAATCTCCTTGGTCTCCATTCCGAAGATCCAGCCGAAGTACATCATGGTCTCTTTGATCGTGAACTCGCCGTATAGTGCGATCTCCTGGGGCATGTAGCCTACCCGTTTGCCGGGTACTCCAGAACCTGAGGACAATGGAGATGTTAGAAGAAGTGCTTAGAAATTGGAGTATCAGATAACATAGGAAATAAGGAACCAACAAACAAGTTGTATGAAGTTTTATATATCGAGATTGATCCAGAGATTGGGGATTAACCGCCATACTCAGAGTCAATTAATGGCTACTTAATCCAGTACTTAGCAATACGGTAGTTACCAGGGAATGAAAATGAAAAATCGAATTAGTCCGTTAGTTAGATAATGAAAAAATATTAGACACGTATTTTTTATTTTGCTCATATAAAAAGTTACAATACTTAGATAAAATGGAGGTAAGTTTAGGAGTGGGAGGTCGTTACGTCACTAAGTGTTACAAAATGTAGCGTATTGTGACGTCACACGATATTTCAGATTATTATATCGTCGAAAGTATTTAATTTTGTGAGAAAAGAAAAAATACGTATGTAATGTCTTAAATTAATCTACCAGACGGACATTATAATATAATTTAGGCAACTACCCTATTGTATTAGAAACAAAATCGTTACTAAGGAATAGTTTAAGTATAATAAGAGTCTTAAGTAATAGGGGGTGAGCTTATTGCCATATACCGGGCACATTTCCAGACACCGTGTTATTGCTGAGAATTTTTTAAAATCTCAGTAATACTTTGCCCGACCCGGGAATCGAATCCGAGACCGTCGAGTCGCACTTGCGACCACTCCGCCAACGAGCAAAAAATAAAATGAAGTAATTCGTGACTCTAGTAAAATGAAACACAGAAGATTAGTTTTTTTTTTCAATCTATTTAAATGTTGGTGGTGGTGTTGCTTACCTTTGGTGCCAGGTTTGCCCCCGAGCACCCATATCTCGCCGCTGTTCAGTTTCCGCCTTCCGACGATGCAGGATAGCAGAGTCGTCTTACCACATCCAGACGCTCCCAGAAGACCGTATCTGTAGACATACGCTTTAATTAACATTAAACTATAGAAAATTGTATTCAAAACTTAGTATGGTAGGTAGATACCAAATAATGGCCATGTATCACAAAATATACTGAATCAAGAATAACACTGCAAAAATACAACCACATAAAATTTAGAACAATAAATAATGAAAGAAGTATACAGAGCGGATCTGAATGGGGCCGTCGGTAGAGGGCGCCCTAGACCGATATATAGTAACACAATTGGCGATATATTAAAGAAGGGCCAAATTAAAAGTACCCTTAACCGACGAGCATACATGACTGTTGATGAAGCGAAAGAGGTATGCAGGAATCGTAGTAATTGGCGTTCCCTAGTCTCTGCTTACCCTCATGGGAGGCAGGCGTGAAGTTATGTGTGTATGTATGTTTAAATTTCGTTCTGCATTTTTTGTGTTTATCAAAATCGAATTCATTGCTGACGCTGATTCTATTCTAGTAAACATATTTCTCACTGTTTCTTCGCTTAACTTAGAAGATTACACATTCTACTTAGTTCTAACTAGTAGCTCTACTCTAGGTCACTTAACCATTCCATTTCACCACGCCACCGCTTAATCTGAAGCCATCACACACATGCATTTCCTAAAACCGTCCGAGATCGCAACGGTCGGACGCCCGCGCATGCGCAACACACGAGGACGAAGCACTTGCGAAACATCAATTTACATTCTATTCCACGATACAAACTTACACAAACACTTTATAACACTCTTATTTCGTACCTACAACGTCCAATTTCGTTTAATTTTTCTGCATTTTTCAATTGGTAGATAAATGAATTGGTGAGTCTTTATTGTCATGGTTTTAAGGTTGATTTTTGCTTGTATTTTTGGAGGATGGTCAGTAGATTTTCATCATAGGTTTAAGGAAAAGACTACATATATTACAGTATGTAGAGGATGGCGACAATTGTTTGGTTGTGACTTCTTGCCTAATGGCTGGATGTATGCGCAGGCGTCATGCTTCGTGCGTGTGCGCATCGCCAAGGGTGACGGAAGGATAAATTAAGTAGCCTTTGTAATATAGAGGATGGAGACTTAGGTCGAGATGGTTAGTATTGTGCAAGGTTTGGGTAAAACAGAATTATAATTAATCTTAAAAATATATCAGCTCTTCTTTTGCCAATTGTAGTATTGGACCCAATAAGAAAAAAGTTAATGATAACACCAGACAGTATTAGAGGTATTTCTGTAAATTCCTGTTTCTTTTCTTCTGTCAGTTTTGAATTTCTAACTGTTAGAACTTCAAAATTGATTATTGAATTCACTGACTTTTGACTGCACGGTTGGTGCGGTGGCTGGGTTTTTTTTTTTAAGGGGGAAAATCATCGAATGACTGCTCCCGCCTGGGTGAGGCGGGAGGGAGTGTCAGACTCTTACTGACTAAAAACCTCTTACTGACTGTACCCACGACACAGGAGAATATACTAATGTAGAGCAACGTTTAAAAAAAAACATAACTATTTCAAAAAATCAATCATGTGACAGAGGCACTATTGTCTCTTAGAACACCTCAAACCTCTTCTATGAATCACTCTATCTACAAGTTAAAATATATCAAAATACCTACAGACATTTCCGAGATTACCTAATTCATACAGACCAACAGCAACACTTCACATAGTAAACATATAGTAAAAACATATGTCTAGTTAAATTATTTCCATTAATAGAATACATTGGTATTTTCCATACATGTATTGTATTGGTTAAAAATATTCCATTGATGACTAGAATTATTAATAGAATTTAACAAAAAATGGTGGCGGATCATATGTATTATGTCTACGAGTACTATATTTATGTGTATATCATATATTTAGATGTTCTTTGTTATCTTTTTGTTTCGGGAAGGATTACACAGATCTGTATTTTATTGAGGGGGAAAATCTTTGAATGACTGCTCCCGCCTGGGTGAGGAGGGAGGGAGTGTCAAACTCTTACTGACTAAAAACCACCCCGTTCCTTCTTCTGCACATCGACACGGAGCCCCGGCAACCCGTTAGGTTCTCCGCAACTTTTTATTGTATAGGAGGCAAACGAGCAGATGGATCACCTGATAGTAAGCAATCAGCGCCGGACATAGACACCCGCAACACCAGAGGAGTCACCGGTGCGTTGCAGGCATTTTAAAAAGGAGTAGTTACGCTCTTTTCTTAAAGGTTTTATGTTCGTGTCGGTTCGGTAATACCGCCGACGACGGATCATTCCACAGTTTTGCTGTGCGAGGCAGGAAGCTACGTGAGAAGCGCACAGAGGTGGCCTGCTAACCATCTATATGGTGGGGATGTATATGCTGTCGTATTATATTATTTTATGAGTCATTTTGTAATTGAGTCTATACCTTTGAAATGAAAGACAAACCTCTTTTAAATGTCTTCAAAATTATTTACTATTCCACTATTTTACTTATCTGTTACACTCTTATTTAAACTTAAACCGAAATCTCAACTTTAATCCTTGTAACGGCTGACCCGGGAAATGAAACTGAGATTTCAAGTTTGATGATTGTTTACCTTAGATCTACTATTCCAAAGAAATAATCAGTAAAATTCAAAGATGAAATGAAAAAAACCCTTATTTATTCACACCATACGATGTTTGCGCAAAAATCAAAGAATATATTACATCGTTCACGAAATCATCAATATTACCCATAAGGTCATGGTGTTTGACATCTCAGTGCTAATGGATCCCATCAATATGCTATTTATTAATGGAATACCAGCCATATGTCAAAAAAATTTACTGGCGTACAAAAACCGACCTTAACACGTTAGTATAAAGTCTAACAAGTTTAGATGAAAAAATAAATATTGAATAATGTTTAGTAAAGGTTTTTGCGTATAAATATACATAACATAACATCACGCCTTTTATCCCCGAAGGGGTAGGCAGAGGTGTACATTACGGCACTTAATGCCACTGTACAATGTAACACCCACTTTTCACTATTTATATTATGAGTCCCATGTAATAGGGGGTGAGCTTGCCATATACCGGGCACAATTCCAGACTCCGTCCTACTACTGAGATTTTTTTAAAAAACCCTGTAATAATACTTTGCGTGACCCGAGAATCGAACTCGAGACCCCTTGCCCGGCAGTCGCATCTGCGACTACTCGGCCAACGAGGCAGTATAAATATAGTAACTCATATTACATGGAAACGTTTGGTTGCTTGATGATTCAATGTATGTATGTATGTATGTAGAGGTATGTAAGTATGGAATGTGCTCCGAAATTACTGAACCGATTTGAAAAACTCTTTCAGGGCAGTAAAATACTATATTAGAGGACATTTATCTGTCTTACAGGATGGATATCTGTTAGTGAGAAATCTACGCAAAGCCAGGTGGAAAACTAGAATGATATAAGATTAAGTAGGTACCTACCATCGCTTACCACCAGGCGAGGATCAAATATAAAATGTTAGTTTTTGATCTTAAGTTCAACGTGTTAAAGTTCAATTTACCAATTCAATAACGTCAATTGTCTATAAATAAATACATAGTATTATATACGATATATAATTGCTACCTACCTAGGAAACTTGTATTTCGTTGTTTTTTCCTAGTAATTCTATTAATAATCCTACCATCTAGATTCTAGATTAAAGAATGTTTATCTAGATAGAATATTACGTAAATATATAAAAAAATAATGATATAACTACGGGTTATACGAGTTTAAAAACAATGGTAGGTCAATATAATTCTAGTTATTACCTACTGAGTGTGGCATGTAATTAAATGAATCTAACCTGACATAAGTTTTGAACCTGAGACCTTATCCTTGACAGTCTTATGTGGAATTCATCAATTCAACAGGCTGTAAAAGTCTAACTATGAGCTGCTGTAAGTTTTAAGTGGATTTGCCACAATCTCCTTGGCAGCCATGTTGATTAATGGTCGTAGATCAAAAGGTTTAGGTTTTTTTTTATATTTGATGGGCTGACGTTTGACCACTATCTCGCCAGGTGGTAAGCGATGATGCTGTCTACGATGGAGCACGTCGTCCTATAAGCAACGTATTCACTCGGGCCTTGAAGATACCCAAGTTGTAACCTTCAGGAAATACAGACTCTGGTAAAGAGTTCCACTCCTTAGCAGTACGCACAAGGTTTACTAGAGAGTGTTAACAAAAAATAAGTAATAACTACATAAAAATACATTTCATATTAAACGAATTTAATGTGTATGGTCATCATGATTCCGAGTGTGTACCCACCAAACATGAAGAAGAAAAAAAGAAATTGGAGGCAGCAGTCAAATACTTTCAAAGATACCTTTCAAATAATAATAATGATGTCGACTTTAGATATTACTGAAGAAACTCCATACGACACTGCACCGAATGCACTCATCGACCCCCTCAAGTCAATCACAACCTACATTCAAATACAGTCCATCGTCCGTCAGTAATTAGGCCTCAATTTGCGTGCTGATCACGTCTCATACTATATTAGGGCACCTATCTTGTGAACGCTCGTATTTATTATGTATGTATGTTTGTATGTAATAGTCAGTGTTCGTATATGGAAACATAATTGTCAGTATGGTTTGACGTCAGTCCGTCAGTCAGTGCTTCCTGACTACGATGTACTATTGTTGTTGCGCAGACGCTGGTAGCTGGTTCTAATACTGCTAATCTTCTATTGAGCCTTAGTTTTTTACTTCAAAAATTATATAGCTTTTTTAAAATTCTCGGTTTTATCCATGTACAGAAATTTGGACATCGAGAACGTCTTCAACAATTATTTCGAAATATCCTCCTGAAAATCTTTTTTTTTTTGTTACAGAGCCGCGGAAGACATAACGAGTTTATTAGGCTCCGGCTTGAAAAGTAGAACTTGGAACGGCGTGGTTTTTAGTTAATAATATTCTGACATTCCCTCTCACATCCCTCACCCAAGGCGGAAGAAGTCATTAGAGGATTTTCCCCCCTTAAAAAAACCTTAATAGTTAGGGCGAAAACTTAGTATCTAGTGTATTTACAAATGTACTTCTATACTTCGAGATGTAAAAGGATTAATAACATACATTACATAGTCAAGTCATCGGTATTCCCCGAAGGTATGCGTTTACTTACAATACCAATCCTAGTACTAGAAAATCAAGACTTGTATGCATCTGCAATTATTTACGCCATCGTCCGTATCCTTCACAACGGAAGTCAATGTTGCCTGACGGAAAAAATATTCCGTCGCCATTATACGGAAGAGGATCTACATAAACATATTACGTTGTATGCACCATCATGCTTGTTGTTAGAGATATTCAAACTACTACAGAGGGCTAAGTACGAGTTTCTTTTTCGTTTACAGTAATCGAAACGAAACCTCGTATGGCGCTCTGATTGGTTGGTTCATTAGAGCCGGCCAATCACAGCGCCGAACGCGTACTTGTTTCTATTACTTTCAACGTAAATACGCTCGTACTAAGGCCTCTGATTATCATTATTAATGTTTTTGAAAAGGCAAAACAGTTGTCCATCAGTCAGTTTGTCCGTCAGTTAAACTGGGTACCTGTTCCAAAATGTTGTTTCGTATGGACAAGAATGATCAAGAAATTCTATCACTAAGTACTCGTCACTAATGTCTAAATTGTTTAACTTAGATAACCATTGTAAATGTGAGAGCCCTGTAATTAACTTAATATTAAATTAGATTAGTAGATTTCATTTGTGTCAGCTTGGAGTTGTCGTGCTCACTCAAAGGTCTCATTGGCGGTGGCGCGTGCAGTGGATCGCTCGATTCCCTACAATATGGTTGAGTTGGGCGGTGCTGGTGTACGTGTCATGTTCGTGAACGGGCGCCGTAAACCGGGACTGGTCAGCTCCAGACTGTATTACTGTCCTTAAGGTTATTTTCTTTTTTGATCACTTTGACTGGATTTTAGTGTTACATTGTTCTCGCACAATCCAAACAGCAAAACTATGTAACTAGTAAATTGTATTGTGAACCTGATTGAAAAAGAGTAACCTATGGAGTTTCTTGCTCGTTCTTCTCCATAGGAATCTACGCCTTGGAATGAGCAAATAGCTTCACTTTAAATTTTTGTTTTTGTTGACGTTCAAAAGTGCCATTCTGGCCTAATTGAAATAAATGATTTTGACTTTGACTTTGACTTTGAAATACTCACTCAAGCGACACACAATTTTAAGTCGTGTTTATGTATAGTTGTGTCACCACAAATCCTTTGAAACTGCCCGAGATGGCACGATATTTGGATAAAACTTAAAATTGAAAACCTTCAGAATTCCGGCGTTAATCTGCCAAAGTAAAATTTATAGTATTATATTCGGTTTGACTCCCAGAGCCCAGACCAACCATTGATTTATCAAGTCAAGTATGTAATTTTGCGTAAACCATTATACCTACATTACCTAGAAAAACAATTCAAAGGTCAAAACCACAGCAATTAGAATTGATTAGACGCAGATCAAGTCAAGTTGTCCAATAAAAATTAACTCGTTGCGTCAGCAATGCCATTACCTGGTCAAATCGAACTGACGTGGTTTGACGTACACATCGCAGTATGGATAGTTTGACGTATGCCTATTATACCATGGGGCACAATACTATTTATTGTAATTGTTATTGTCGGTTGATAATGGTAGGGGTGATGGTAAATTAATAGGCTTTACCTTTCTAGGATAATGTGTTGGGTCAAGACTATCGAGGTTAAAATTACATATACATACTTGATAAAGTTTGGTGCTACCTCTAGATACCTTTAGTTAGGTAAAATTATACAAAAGTAGACAGGTTTTGCATGGGCTTAAAAAATCGCAAATGCAGGAAACGCCTCTTTTAATAGGCGAAAAATGTCGTAAGTAAACTAAACCTAATATTACAAAGAAAACAAAATGTATCTATTATGAACCCGCAAAAAGATTTTGACGACCCTAGGAAAGATCCTAAACGTTTTTACGGAAACATATCAAACATAGCAGCCAAAGAAAGAATGAGACTTATTATTGACAACACTAAGCAAATAATAACAATAAAAATTCCTATAAGCGATAGAATCCTTCAAGACCCACGTATAAGTACAACAATCGCTAAAACTTCCGCTTACTCATAATTGTTGAGCATCAATTGTTATAATCATTATAATACCATTTGTCAGAGGTTAATAATCTTTTGTTCCTCGCCCTCTGTACTTTGGCACTCCGCCAGACTTCCTCCTTAGGTACCTACTGTCGTTAGAAATAAGAACTGAGATATTTGCCATGTGATTTTGTATCGAAGGTTCGATATTTTTGGTCCAATATTTGGCTTAATGGTGATGGAGTATATCAGTATATAAGCAACCTATTCACTCATGATTTGAAAACAACCAATAGAAAAGAGACTTCTGGTAAAGAGATTTCAAAAATAGGTAGAATCCATTCGTAGGTATATTGTTGGAAAGAGCTGAGAATGGGAAAACGGAACCAATTTCGTATACAAGGGACAATAGTACATGAGTCGATTAAAAAGTTAAATAAAAAGAGTTGAGACCGACTACAATGTTATAACTTCAGTTGATCATTTGCAATCATGGAACTTGCAATAGTGCTGAAATATTGGAAATTCATCAAGGAAACAATGAAAATAGTCGTTTTGAGTTCTCACGATAGGGTCTTCATACAGTTGTTAGTCAATATCCTGATCGACCTGTAGCTATTCTACACGACATCATAGATTGCATATTGTTATCTGATGTGGCTTCTGTCCAAGAGTCTGATCCTGTTTACATCTTCTAACGGGAAATGTAAGATTTTCTGCCAATACTTGTATATATATCGGTGAACAGTTATTGTTGTGGACTATTGGCATTGCGTAAAGATGTTCCATATTTACTTACTTCTTCCTTATTGGTTCACTTCTACTAATTTTTACCCTTATCTGATTTTGGACACCGGATATTCTTGTTTTCTTGTTTTAAAAAATCGTTGCCCCACATTAGGATTTTCTCCTGTGTCGTAGGTGCGTTTACAAACATACAAGTTTAAATACACAATGACACCCCGACCCGGAACAACAATTTGTGGACCACACAGAGTGTTGTTCCGTGCGGGAATCGAACCCGCGACACGTTGCACGGCAGCCGGTTGCCCAGCCACCGCAGCAACCGTGCAGTCACTATGAACAACAATAAATTATCCTCATTCTATTCGGGCTTAGCTAGATAGAACAAACCAATGATTGCAGGAATTATTTAAACAGCAGGTCTCAATCAGACCCATCAAATGAGAATCCCAGACATTAAAAGTTATTAGTACTATACAGATCAAATCAAAAATAGCAGTCAACTGAAGTGTCATAAAAATGAAGGAACTTAATCTAGTGATATACGTACATGGTACCCTTAGCGACGGTCATGTTGAGGTTGCTGAGCACATGGTTGGGTCGCTTCTTGGAGCCGTAGTGCTTGAACGCGTGCCGCACACACACCGCCTGTTGACGTTTCTGCCACACCTGCAAACAATATTACAACTCTTAATATACATATCTTGGTATATGTGCTGCTTCAAAAGCAATCAGCATTTTGGAGACTCGAGTTGAGATTCAGTGTTGACTTGGAAGTGGAAGTGGAAGAAGTGGAAGAGTATTTATTATATGTTTTTTTATGACATAAGATGGTAAACTAGCAGACGGATCACCTGATGGTAAGCAATCGGTGTCGCCCATGGACACCTGGAACACCAGAGGCGTTGCAAGTGCATTACCGGCCTTTTGGGGATTAGGAGTTTGAGGATGGTTAGGGATTCAGGAATTGGGAAGATTGGAGAAGGGGAGGGTAATTGGGCCTCCGGTAACCTCACTCACTCGACGAAATACAACGTAAGCGTTGTCTCAAGCCGGTTTTCCGGCATAACACCGGCCGAGCCGACCTATTCGTGCCGAAGCATGGCTCTCCCACACTTAAAATGTAAACAATACAATTTTTCCTTAACCGAAAATATTTTCATTCTATCTTCCTTGTGAATACCTAATACGTATTTACTCTACCTATACCAAAGACACCCCGACCATCATCACATGAACAATAAGATATTTATTATCTTCCCTATACATGGTAACTAAAGTAGCCATTGTTTTTCAGTTACTATACCACCACAAGTATAACCTGACCTTAAATTGTATAAAGTCTAATGACAATGGGAGATCAATTTATATTGGTGGTATAGCGTGATTTGCTGTCTGTATATTTTTCTCATTGTACTTTTCCAATATAACCTGGCCTTAAATTGTATAGGGCCTAAGGACAATGGGAGATCAATTTATATTGGAGTATAGTATGATTACTGTCTGTTTGTTTGTAGTTATGACTGATTCATGTTTGGTACATATGTGCTGTTGACCTTTAAGTGTTAGTGCAGGTGCACTTAAATGTATAGAAGAAAAATTGTGGTTACCTAATTATTATGGACTTACGGCTAAAAATCCAAAGCCTCCCTTATTTTTGTATTCGACGGAATCTCCGCACGACTAGTTTCGACAATTGATCTTGATCTACAGATATTCAATTTAGATAAAGATTGTTTATATGCAAATATGGGTAGTACAATAATGGTGTTTAGTTAGGTTAGCACACATTGCGAGTTCAGCCATATTTTAGGAGGCATCCTAATATGAATTAACAAAGTATTTAAAAATAAGTTAAGATATTAGTTTTGGCCATAGGGAGTTAATCTCGTTTGTACCTTTATATTGGTATTATATGCATTCTAAAATAATGTTGGTAAAATTCCATATACATAACATTACGCCTTTTTATCCCTGAAGGGGTAAACAGATGTGCACATTATGGAACTTAATGCCACTGTACAATGTAACACCCACTTTTCACTATTTATGTTATGAGTCCCATGTAATAGGGGGTGAGCCTATTGCCATATACCGTGCACATTTCCAGAATCCGTGCTACTACTGACATTTTTTAAAATCCCAGTAATACTTTGCCTGACCCGAACCGGATATAGAACCCAAGACCCCTCGAGAATTTCTCAGAAAACACACACACCACAAAGATTTCGATCCTAGTTCTTATTTTTCTTATTTTAGAGGAAGTTATAACATTACATTAATATGCATTTAAAATTACAAACCTTGACATATGCAAATATGTCAAAATTGGGTACTGCCTTCATCAAAAATAAATTATTTCGACTGTTCAATACAATAAAATATTAATACAGTAATCACAATTTCGTTAATTGATTTTATGACCAACTCAATTTTAGTATTTTTCCAGCAAATTCTTAAGAAATAAGTATGCTGTTTGACGCTAAAAAACCGTGACGTCACAATACACATTCTCTTACAAAATTCATAGAAAACTGTCGTTTTGGACAGTTCGAAAAAAGTATTGAATTTGAATAGTTGGCAAGTACCCAATCGTATTTCTAAAAACGTATGACACAATAAAGAAATACATCTTCCTGCTAATGTTACTAATAAAAGTCACTCCTTTTAAATAAATGTAACGATCCATTGTACATATAATTATACCGAAGGAAAAATATTTCCGGCCAGGTTGTATATGAGGAAATAAATAAAGTTATGCAGAAAATTCACTAGGATCCTTATTTGATACAGCCTTATATAACTTGTTATTAGGCCTTTGTATAGTAAGAATTAACTGCTATTGGTCCCACAGAAAAATCACAAGGAAATTAGAATTTAATTGGGGAAAAGGTGCCTTCATAATTTGAATGTGTCTTTATTATAGACAATGCCAGGTGATGGTCTTATATAGAAGAAACATAATTATCAAATATGCTATTATAGAACTTAAAATATGTAGCTTGAAGTTGATGAAACAGAAAAGAAGACAGTTAAAAAGAAAAATCAAATTGACAATGAAGTGACGAGTAAGTGTAAAATTGTGCAGAATAGTAATAACACTTATTATTTGGAAGGATGAAAAGAAAGAGGACCACCAAAGAAAAGATGAATAGATTAGGAAAAAAAGAGGTTGTGTTTAAATGGCGATTGTTATAGTAGAATGGAAGGATACTTTAGCGCTTGTCTACAAAGAGAGTATAAATCAAAATGTATGGGGATGACACTGACAAGTTAGTGTCAAAATTTACGTCAATTCCATATAATTTGGTTTTCTATTCTACATGTAGACAAGCGTTAAATGGCATTTGGCTACAGCTGCAGGATACCTTGTACCGATCCCAATTAAGTAACTTTCGATAAAGGCAAGAAGAAATAACTGAAGATCTTTTTTGAGTGTAAAATCATCTAATGCTTTCTTCCACACTGGGTAAGGTGAGAAGGAGAGTCAGACTCTTACTGACTAAAACCACCCCGTTCCTACTTCTGCTCTTTGAGCCGGAGCCCTAGCAACCCAATAGGTCCTCCACGGCTCCGTATTGGCATCAGCCCTATGGGCCCCATCGATCTACTAACGTACAGATAACTGAGAGGATATCCACTGACATAAACTTATTAGATTCAAATCCAACAGCTTGTATAGAGACTTCAAAATCAAAAACAGAGACAAAGAAAACTCACATTAAATCAACAGCCTACAATGTCCACTGCTGAGCAAAGCCTCTTCTCACACGGAGAAGGTTTGAGCATTAATCACCACGCTTGCTCAATGCGGGTAGGCGATTTCAAACATATAATAAGAAGTTATAAGCCCAGGTTTCCTCACGATGCTTTCCTTCAACATTTGTCAGTGGTGTCTGAATAATCTTAGAAAGTACATATTAACTTGGAAAAAGTCACGTTGGTAGTTGCCGTTGGTAGGTTTCGAACCCTCATGCATGAGAAGCGGGCGTCTTAAACATCCGGGCCACCACGACTAGTATAAAGAAAACTAGATCACCAAAATTAAACCGAACGTTATGTACTGCAAAGCCTACTAATTCCTACATACATAATTATAGGCCCAGTCAAACTTCCAGCTCATTGACACGTAAACTAAGTATGATATAATATCATAGGAAACGCAATAGAGTATAACTATAATATACCGGTTTATGCGAGTGTATACGTTTGGACAATGGCAATTATGCAATGTATGTTGTACAATCTACGGCAATTGACATAGTGTATTATGTATTCTTTGAGAAATCTACACCTGTGCGAGATAAAATTCTCTGTCTAGGGCTTGATAGATCGAATTCGGACGTCTATAAGTAATTCTTTGGATCTAGGGTGATGTTATAGCAGAGGTATACAACCTATGACCTAATGATCATTTAGGCTTACTTAATAGAGTATCATGTACTTTTAGATAGAATCAAAATAATATCTTATCGGTCTTAGATCGCACAGCCGTCTTCTTAAATAAGAATTACTCTATCCCCTGGTGAAATCAGTATTAGAATTCGTTCAGTAGTTTTTGAGAGCATCATGAACAGACAGACACATAGACGCGGTTGGAGATTTTGTTTTATAATATTATGCAATGACAAGAAAAGTTAACTAATACAAAGTTACCAGGTATTACAAGCTACTTATAAAATGATGTAAGATCATCTATAAATCGATTAACTATCGGTCTGAATCGGTATAATTCTTAGTAAAACCCGAATTATCTAGAAAAACATGTGGATGCTCTGAAATATACGTTTCATAATAATTTGTATCGTTAATTTGTTATGAGTCAACCATCAGCCACTAATTGGATTTGTTATTTGCCAATCAGGATGCACTTAAAATACGTAATACATTTTATATGTCTCCTTTATTTAAGTCGTTATTTTATTTTCGGGTTCGATAACTCAACATATCGTTTTCGGAGTGGTGCATATCTGCGTACAGAGGGCAACTGTAAAACTTTGGTACGTCTTCAAATTTTATAATAGCTCTAATCCCGACAAAAGAATTCCAGTTTTTATTTGTACCACTACGGTGGCATGAAAAACACGGCCCACCTCATTGTAAGTGGTTACCGTGGCCTATGAACGCTTGCAAACACTTGGGGCATTAGAAATCTATCTTCCTAGCTGCTAAACCAATAACCAATCCTTGACTTTCTTTTTTTTAAATATAAAAACTTACCGAGCTCTCCTGTTTTTCGAAAGGAGGTGAGAACTGTATCTGGCTCATCTTAGACTCCTTCGCGTCGCCCATCGGCGACGGAGGCGAGGTCTCTCTGTAAACAAAGGAAAAATAACATTAGCATCATTGTAGTAAAGTTTACATTGCAACACCAGATTTGATAACTGACAATATTCAAAGGTTTTGTTTCTCATCAAGTGGTGCTAGCGAGGCGTAGAGATCTATTTGTCCAATCAGCTTAGCTGTCAAGATTGAACTGACCAATGGTTTGTTAGCATCAAATATTCTATTGGTCGACTAGACGTCATGGTCACATTTACCGCTTTTAGTTACGGAACAGCCATCAGAAGTTGGACTTTATGATCCACAAATTGCAAGGCAACAGCATGTTTTTGCTGTACAGGACATTACCGAAAATGACTACCAAGGCATCAGACGGTACACCTTGACCTGATGAGTCACAACATCGCTTTTAACCGACGCAGCCATTTTAAGCGGTGGTGCAAGTCCACAATTAACTTTTATGATAACTTTAATAAGCAAAAGTTTTTACTTTGGATCTATAAATAACTCTTAACTGTTTATTTAAGCAGACATGTTTTATAATTTGGCAGATGACCTTAAAGAAATAAATAAGAAGATGCCACCTTTAATGACTGAATACTAAGGACTGACTGAATAATGGTCATGAAATAATTTTTTATTTCAACGTAATAAATAAATGCATAATGTGATGAGAGCTAAAGAAGTGTATATACACATACATACATTAAAATTTCTACTGAGTTCTGCTTCAATCCTTATGGATTATGGTATTTAAGGCGGTACTTTACAGTTTTTAGCTATATATGAGAATAAATGAATGAGTTTTTGTATGCCAGTTCCAGTTCCTACCTTCATGATCACAAGAGCTAATGCCAAATATGCAACCTCAAGAGATCGACTTCCCATTAAAGTATTGAATAAGATTTCTCTAGTGACAATAAATTTATCTGTTGTCTCTATCATCACAAGAGCAACTGGTAACTAAATATTCCAGGACATTGATTTCCCAATAAAAAAATAAAAAAAGGTACGAATGTAAAACTTGACTCTAATTTATTATAATTTTGGTCCTTTGTTACCTGCAGTTTTTTATGTGAGAGTGAACTAGCGAGCAGACGGATCACCTGATGGTAAGCGATCAGCACCGCCTTTGAACACCCGAAACACCAGATGACTTACAAACATTAACCCATAACAGTGTTTTAGCTCGTATGTATGTATGTATGATGTATACTTTAAATTATCATACATAGGTGTTTTATATTTCAATCTCCCGTCATGTAACACAAATCTAATGTTTTACACAATCATAAAAAAGAAATAAAAAGTGTCTCAGAATAACAACGTAATGTCGGTGTGACGTAAATATATGTTGATTACATACACATTTACATAATTATGAGTATATAAGAACATATACACGCACACATACACAAGTGTGTATTTGGCACTAAACGCGGATGTCAGTAATATGTTTACACAGCAATCTTTATATTGTTTTTAATTGTTATACAAGAATATTATACGATATATCTTTATCTCGCTTCGTTGGTTTCTTTGTTTATTTTGATATTTTTTTTGCTAATTGGCATTTTTTTCATAATTGCAAATGTGGTATGAATCAGTCTGTAAAACATAACATCATCATGATTTTTTATCCCCGAAAGGTTAAGCAGAAGTGCACTTTATGCCACTGTATAATGTAACACTCACTTTTGACTATTTATGTTATAAGTTCCATATAATAGGGGATGAGCCTATTATCATATACCGGGCACAATTACAGAATCCATGCTACTACTAAGATTTTTTTATAAAAACCCAGTAAATCTTTGCCCGACCCGGGAATCGAACTTTCGACCACTCGGCCAACGAGGCAGTCTGTAAAACTAAGTAGGTATAATATAGTTATGGTATTACAGTTATGGACAAAGTAAAACTATTTATATTTAATTACGGAATTATTGATTATATTTGTCTTTAAAATTCATTATGTTGCATATTGATGTAAACTTTAATGCCAAACGAACATAATAATATCGGGCTTTCGAGCCAATTATGGATGATCAATCAAAACCAAATTATTTATCCTTACTAATATTATAAATCTGAAAGTCCTTACTAATATTATAAATCTGAAAGTGAGTTTGTTTGTTTGTTCCACCTTCACGCCGTAACTACTCAACCAATTGTTTTGAATTTTTGCAGACGTAAAGTTAGAAGTCTGGATTAAATAATAGGGTACTTTTTAACCCGGAAAAATTGATATTCCCGAGGAAAAACAAAAGTATTGGTATAGATGGCGCTGTGTGTATTGGTATATGTCACATGTCTACTTTTTATTCTTTTGTGACGCGAGCGAAGCCGCGGGTAAAAGCTAGTTTGACTATAATAGAGAAACACTTAAAATATAAGTCTGTAGGATTTGTAGAAAAACTACAATATTAGCTCGTTCTAAACTTTAGATTCCTTCGAGGAACAGGCTTCCTAAGCCATTGTTTCGAAATCACGTTTGTTTAAAAATACACACTAGGTAATTATAACTATAAAAAACCTAATTATTCAGATATTCTACGCATTTGGAATAAATTAATATCAAGTGTCCAGTGATACAAGCACAAGACACATTACGGAAAAAACCCAAAACGTGGGGTCAAGAACCGAAGCCTTTAGGACTCAAAATTGACTGAATATAAAAGACCTGAGAACTGGTAAATGTACCTTAAACTGTACTTGAGTACATGATAATAATAACGGCAATATTGAGATAAATAATATGGAAAATCGAATCGAAATTGGTATAGCAGTTTTCGAGAAAGCTGTCGAATTACTGATTACTTCTTTTAAGATAAAAGTGATTACGGTTCTTTAACATACATACATACATAACTTCACGCATGTCTCCCATGGGGGTAGGCTGAGACTAGAGAATGCTAATTACTACGATTCCTACATACCTCTTTCGCTTCATCAACAGTCATCAATCTTTTCATGCATGCTCGTCGGTTAAATTAAATTATTTGAGACCTTTATACACAATCTATTGATGAATGTTTAATTTATTAAGGTAACAAAAAAAACTTTAAAATGATTAGACAACAAAACTGTTAAAATCTGTTTTGTAGATAATTATAGTAACCACTAGCTCTAAATCATATCAAAACAACATTTACTCTTTCTCACACTCATATACTCATATCATCACGCATTTTATCCCTGAAGGGGTAGGTAGACGTGCACATTACGGCACTTAATGCCACTGTACAATGTGTTACCCACTTTTCACTATATATGTTATGAGTCCCATGTAATAGGGGGTGAGACTTTTGCCATATACCGGGCACAATTCCAGACTCCGTGCTACTTCTGAGATATTTTTAAAAATCTCAATAGTACTTTGCCTGATCCGGGAATCGAAACCGTGACCCCTTACTCAGTGGCACTTGCGACCACTCGGCCAATGAGGCAATCTCTTACTCATTCTCCTTCAAATAAAACAATGTATTTTTAGGCACACAATAAAATATACAATCCTCAAATTCCTAATCCCCAAAAGGCCGGTAACACACCTCTGGTGTTTCAGGTGTCCATGGGCGCATAAAACAAAAGATACATCAAATTGCGACCCATTTTTACATATCAACAACCAGGCTTATATAAAAACGAAGTCATGACAAATGACAATCAACTGGGGTAATCTAAACCGGTTCACAGCAGCGCCATAAAACTAAGATACAAGTCAACTGGTTGCACTATGTTAACTCCTTCCGTAACATGTCTTCCTGGTACTCGTCATAGTGTTACAGCATCACTTGCTATTGTCAGATTGTCACTCATCACGTGGAGATGTGTTAATCTCCTAATGTTGCTGAGGTATTAAGGAAAACTATTTAGATTTACCTATGATTAGCCAGTGCACTAAAGGTAGGTAAGTTGTAGTGTGTCGAACGATGATTGCAATAATATGTTCTATATATTTAGGCGTGTAGTTTTAGGCTTAGTAATCTAAACTACCAACCTTCAGGAATTAATTGACTCCAAAAGAAGTTATCGAAAAAAAATTGAATCCTACTAATTCCCACTCTATTTGTTCAGATCCTTAATATTCAATTTTACAGTTACACTTAAAAGAACAAGAAACAGAGCACAAAATATTGGAATATAACCATATATTATATCCTATATTTTATACTTTTATATAATAGAACTAAAGAGGTTGTTTGTTTGTTTGATTGAACGCGCAAATCTCAGGAACTAGTGGTCTGATTCGAAAAATTATTTTTGTGTTGGATAGCCCATTTATCGAGGAGGGCTATAGGCTATAAACCATCACGCTGCGATCAATGAGAACCGATCAGAGCCCGGAAGAAGCTAGTCACCATAATATTTAACATATTCAACCAACGAAGAAGTTAAAATGTGAAATAAACACCCTCTGCACTAATTCCACGGTAAATCGATTCTTGATCTAACTCGATAAATCCCTTATCGATATAACTCGAGTACTCGATTAAGACGTCACATCGCACTACTCGTGTCTGACGACATGAGACGTGATGACATATCAAGGTCACCAGTGAGTCAGAAGTGCAAGTCCACACAAATCACGTAGTAATGAAAAATGCGGTTGAAATTGTAAACATTTTGCTTGTAACTGTACTATTTATTCTGCGGTGTATCGTAGTTTTATTGGTAGTAGCTAGCTGATGTATGTAACTTGAATGAGTCCAATTGGCCGGGGGAATACTATTTTGAAATACTGACATAGAGTTGGTCTGTGTCTAGATATGTGGTGTTTGAATTTCGAATACCTTTTTGTATATGGGACGAGGGTGCCACAACCTCTTTAAACTTCTGCAACTCCTGGATAGTACTGAATTTTGTATGTTCAACATCATCGTTAAACAAGTTAGGCTTCTTTAAATGCGCAGACTACCACAGCTGGGGCTGATGCCTATACGGAGCCGCGGAGGACTTAACGGGTTGCCGTGGCTCCGTGTCTAAGTTCAGGAGTAGGAACGGGGTGGTTTTAGTCAGTAAGAGTCTGACACTCCCTCTCGCCTCATCC